ATTAAAGAGTCATAGCTTTTTTAACAGAAAAAACTCTAATTAAAAATAACTGACAGTAAAGAAAAAGCATTTCTTAACTGTAAAAGAAAAATCAGCTTTGATAGATAAACACAACAACTGAAAATTAGTCAGAGAAACAGGAGTTTAACCAATCCAACAATGAAAATCTGCCTTTACAAACACAGACATGGCACGGTTACAAACCCATCCTGCTCTCTCACCCACTCCCCACGCCTCTTTCTCACAACTTGCCTGGCAGCTGATGCCCGTCTGGCATTCATTGTGTCAACAGAGGTAATCAGCTTGGCACTCCCACATCCATCCTCCCAGATTTTCTTACACMCGGTCCTCCCTTTCTTGTGTTTTTCCGAAATGAATCCGGCGAAAAGGATTTTTTTTTTCTGTTGAGATTAAACTGATGTTTGAGCCTCAGCAACCTTGAGCTTCTCTGCCCGTCATCAAACAAACCTGCTGGGGAATCCTCATCTGTGGGAAGAAATGTCAGGTGGGAGCGAGGCAGCATTGTGGTGTTGTGGCGCCCTCTAGTGACGAAATGTCCTCTTCATTCCAAAACACAAGCTTTTGCAGGACATTTTGCACATTTTCCTCAAAAAAAATTTTTTTTACTACTTGTACTCTCATATGAATGTAATCCTGTGGTGATGTTTTAATTTACTAATTTACTTTATTGTTTTTATTTTATTTTATGTGAAGCACTTTGTGATTTTATGTCTAAGAAAGGTGCTATATAAATAAACTTTAGTTACCTTACTTTACTTAAAATTGATCTGTAGCATTGTTCTGTGATTATATATGTTTTCTTTGTTGTAATAATATCTGTTTATTTTTTTCTTAACTGTGCATCTGATGTCACAGAGCGTTTCCTGCCATGTCTTAATGTTGTTTTCTCCTGTTCTTGGTTAGGCTTGCCATGGATGTGGAGGTTCCAAATGTGACTGCAGTGGAGTAAAAGGAGCGAAGGTAAGCAAATGCTGAATTTATTTTTCTTTAGTAATTAAAGAAGCTTTACAAAGAAAATATTAGTTTTTTTAAGGAGCCATTGCACCGTTGTGCTTCCCTTAAATGACACGAATAACTAATATTACCTGAAATACTAAAACCATTGATTATAAATCTTGAGAAAATCATAGTAAACTTTTTTGCACTGCCTGGCCTGGCTTCAAACACAGGTTCTGTGTTTTTGTATTAGTCTTTACGGCCCAGGTCCACTCCGATTTCTGGAACGTAATGGGAATCGTTTGTAACCACTGTAACATTCACAACCAATGTCGTCTCAGGGCATTCTACAAAAAACAATCAATCCAAAGAAGGCAGCAGATTCACACCATTTAAACTACACAACAACAGTAGCGAGCTACCAAACAACAACAAGCTAACATAGCTACCATTAGCATTAGGGCTGTGTATGGCAATACGATACATATCATGACAGAGGGGTCACAATACGATATATCCCGATATRTTGCGATACTGTAAGCAAGGCGATATATTGTGATTTTTTTTGTCCAAAAATTCTATTAAATAAAAACCTCTTAATGGGAAAAAAATGAAAAACCAAAATTCATTGTCTCAGAAAATTCTAATATTACATAGACATACTTTTGATACATTTAGCTGTGTTCTGCTTTGTATGTGTTTTATTTTATTTGTTTCATATTTCTTATTTTTAGACTAAATTTGCCAATAAATATCATAG